CCCCAAAACCCCAAAACCCCAAAACCCCACAATCGCAAATATTTAGCATTTATTATAGTTAAAATATTAATATATCTTAAGATAGCAAATGCTCACAAGTTAGTATTTAATATTTAATAAAATGATAGCAATTGATATTTTCCCAACAAATTTTTTGCAAAAATCTCTTAAAAGAAGAAATTTTTATTATCATTTTTTCATTACATAGCACCATTGCTGTTTATTTCTTGAATTTCTGAGTTTAATCTAGCAATTGAATCTTTGCTTTATTCTAAATTATGCAATTAGTTTTCTTTATCAACAGAATGATCTACATCCTCAAATATCTCAATGTCTTAGCCTAGTAATTTGCTACTAACAGATTCTTAATCCTTTACTTAGCTCTTATTTTAGTTTGAATTGATAAATCTTCCTAGGCGCGACATTGTACCTTTCTTACTATTTGCTACTTTTTGAGAAATTTTATTGAGCTTAGATCTTATAAAGATCAAATCATCTATTACATCTAATCCACTCTTATCATTTTAATTTTATTGTCCTCTTCCATATGCTCTTCCTCTGCCTCCAACAGGATTCTCTTATATTTATTATGAGTCACTCTATAACTCAATTCCCCTACCTCTACCTCCTCGTCCAAATGCTTTAGGCTTTCTTTCATCTTCACTTTTAACTTCAGTTTCTTCATAATCAAAGGTTGCCGTTCTTTAGCCACGTCCATAAGCACGCCCTCTTCCTTCTTATCGCAATTATTCTTCTTATTATATATCATAAGTTATGCCACTGCCTCTTCCGAATCCTCTTCCTCGACCAATAAGAGGTCTCTCATTTGTTAATGCATCTTAAAATACTTTCTCTTCAATTATAGTTTTATCCTTTCTTTTAGACATTTATCTTTCAACATCATCATTATAATTATCTTTGAAATCTAAAAAATTAGTAACTCAAACAATAAGAACTTACATTTACTTTTTCTCATCTATCTCCTCATCTCTACATTTACTGTATGCTAATCGATGATGTCAGTTGGAAGTTTTATGTATTTAATTGAGATTCCTTTGATATACATCTATTCGCAATTTTTAATTTTGCCATTTTATTATTTAATTGAAACATCATGTAAAAAAAGATTTTGGTAGCTATCAGCCTAGAAGACTATTCCATCAACAATATCACCACCTTTTAAATACACAGCCTATATTAATTCATTGTAATCATAGTGAAGAATGAGAAATTACAATTTATTGTTGCATGAGTGAATTTCTCATATTATTTAAGGTATAGATAGCATACGACTATATTTGATTTGAAAATAAAATATGTCAAGTTACCATTATTTGAAGAATAATTTTTAAAAGCAAATAATAATTATATTAGCAGTTAATAAAATTCCTAATTTAAGCTTATGATTGATTGCATGGGGTTTTGGGGTTTTGGGGTTTTGGGGTTTTGGGG